GTTGCACAGGCATACCTAATTTGTCTGGCTGCGGAATTCCTCCTTGAGTCATTTGTGTTGGAGCTGGGGACTGAGCCCTGAGCATGTTGGGGGCTCTTAAACCATTTCGTGGCGGGTGGGGGGCAGATGAGTCTGGGGTCGATAGCTTATTTGATCGTTCTCTTTGTTGATGTTGGTTTTGGGGTTGTTTGCTTTTGGGTTTTTGGGCTTTTTTTTCCTTTTTCCTTGAGGTTACTGAAGAGCAGTATAATAAAAAGAAACGATCTGGGAATCTAACTTTAGCTTTTACATGCAAGTTATGAATAAGCGGTATTCCTGGCAAATATATTGCCAGAGTTTAATTTAAATCTCGTGGTAATAATGATATACCTCTCGGGCTCGGTGCCTCTGTCAGCCAGCCCTCAGATGGAAATCTGTACCCTTGGGCCCAAAGAGTTCTGGTGAAAATCTGCACTCTCCTTCGTTTTGGGGAGGACTCAAATTGCCCCATCGGGGTGCGGTGGGGTGAGCATTGCATTATCTGTTGAGAAGCTGTGCTGTAATCCGGTTGAATGATACCGGTAATAGTGGAGAATGTAGGTAATCTGAGCCTAGCAGGAAGAAATGTGGGCTAGAAGCCACAAAGAAACTAATCTCCAGGCATTGTAATGCATTTCCTATTACAAAGGAACCCATTTTCAACCAATGTTGACATCCTGTTCCTCCTAATGGGCTGTCCCCTGTGACTTCCCTCATTCTTTTAAAATGCCTGAATACCTCCATTGTTAGCTGCACAACAGTTGGAGAATAATTTAATAGACCTTTGCAGTCTGCTGGTCTGTATAAAGCCTTTCAGTGACATATTGCAGGATTTCCATGCTGGGGCAAGGGGACTGTAAGAATGTAAAGGCAAATCTCCAGGCAAAAAGCCTGTCTTTTAAACCTGGCCTTTAAAACAGTGTCATGCAGCGTGTCCTGCTCCCTTTGTCTCATTCTTAGTTTTCTCAGCTCTTGGACTTGGGTAGTAGGGGGAGTGGATTCCTCTCGTGTCCTGGTTTTAAGCCGCTAAAGTTAACTCTTGAGTTGCACTGCTGTCCACTGGGATCAGAACTGTACTTTCTTCCTACTTGATACTAATCTCATTTGTGTTGAGAGATCAGTTACCAACCCTCTGTCTTACGCGTCCTTCTCTGCCTCTTTGTACAGATGAAGCACGGGGGAAGAACTGCGGCGTCCTGGTGCATTGCCTAGCAGGGATCAGCCGCTCGGTCACAGTGACGGTGGCCTACCTCATGCAGAAGCTGAACTTGTCCATGAATGATGCCTATGATATTGTCAAGATGAAGAAGTCCAACATTTCACCCAACTTCAACTTCATGGGTCAGCTGCTAGACTTTGAGCGGACTCTGGGACTGAGCAGCCCCTGTGACAACCGAGTGCCGAACCAGCAGCTGTACTTCACCACCCCTTCCAACCAGAACGTCTTCCAGGTGGATTCCTTGCAGTCCACGTGAGCTCCCACCACCTCCCTTCTCCTGTCCATTTCATGGGATCACTCCTCAATGGTTTCTCTTTGGCAGTGATAAAGAAATGCAGCTTTCTCTTTTTCTGGCCTCTGCTGTTAACAGGCAGCTGTCAGCGCAGGCAACGAAAGGTTACCCAGTGTGGCATCGGCTCTTGCGAAGGGAGGGGACGCGGGGCAGCGCCGCGGTGCCCCCGGGCAGCAGGTGGGCACCGTGTCCATCCCTGCTTGGGCAGCAGCCGGTCCGAGGACTTGCCGTGTGCTGAGGTGAGGCTGGACAGGCTGGGCACGTGTTCTCTAGGGCTGGGACTGTCCTCCTGCCCTCTGCTCTCAGATCTGTGACACACATCTCTGTCTTCAGTGAAGACTGGTTATTTTTGTTTGTTTGTTTGTTTTAATTTAGAGGAGCCAAAGAAAGAGATTTCAGCTTAGTGAATTTGGAGTACTTGTTTGCTAGGAGCTTGGTAGTATTTTACTTGATCAATGTAAATATTTAACCTTAAATTTATTTGCTTTTTTTTTTTTCTTAATTCACATGTACTCAAGAAATCAATCCAAGGGACACCTGTGTTTTTGTTCTTTTCATAAATTTTGCTCTGTTTGTTTGTTTTAATTGCAAAGAATATATTTGCAGCATGCTGAATTTCATTGAAGCAAGCTTTCCATGAGGGAGAAATGGCAATGGTAAGAAGTTTGCAGATCAGGTTTTGTGAGGAAGTAGAGTCTCTTCTTTCATATATCTTTATTTTCCTTGTGGTGATTTTTTTTCCACATGCTTTTGATGTAGGTTCCATATGATATATATATATATACACACATATATATATATTTAAATTAAATTAATTTTTTGCCTTACCTTTTGTAAATAGATCTGGGAGGAGGTTTGTCTTTGAATGCGAAAGATTTTTGATGACTTTTTAAAACTTTCAGATGTGCTAAACAGTGCATTACCTCTGTACAAATTCTTCAGGGAGCTTCACCTCAAATGCAATATTTTGCGTCTTTTTTTTGTATAAAACTGGAAGTATGTGCGAGCATTTGTACCTGTGTGTACGCACAGTGAACCTGCACATGGTTGCCAATAAGGGAGAGTCTAATCTACAGTGTAAAAGTTTTAAGATGGAATTTATTATAAGAATGTAAAACCCTAAATTATTAATAAATAAATAACTATTTTTGGTTATGGAGAAGCTGGCTGGTTTGTTCCCCCTTTCCCCTCTGTGTAGTTGTGGTTAATTGCACATACCCATATGGTTATGTTTAAAGGCAATAATTGCTCTCAACGGCTTTTGTGCATCCCCCTAAGACAATAAAACCTTGATTTCCCCTTTGGTCCAGTGGTGCCTAAATGAATAAACAGTGAATGTGCTAGATTCTCATCTTGCTTTGGTGAAGAGAATGCTTTTGAAGGCCTGTAGGTTAATTACAAAATACTCCAGCATCTCTTTGCTGTACTAGGGATGCACCTGACTCTGGGCCATAATTTTTTTTCCTCATTATTGCTTAGAGTAAGGAGGTGTTGTTTTCTGGCTTTGTTTATGAATTCTGGTCACTCTTATTACACATGCCAGGAGATGGGTTCATGCTCTGCTTAGCTGTCTGGCAGGAACTCATTTCACAGAGATTCATCAACAGTCTGCAGCCTGTAAATGATTTTTCTGCTGCCATTCAGCCACCTTGCAACTTAATGAAGGCAAGGAGGAAAAGTCTATATATACCCTTAGTCACCTCATTTCCTCTTTGGACCCTTCGAGCAGTTCTGTCTCTGCAGAAGGAAAAAGGGGGATTACAGCAATTGCAAAACTTCCTGCTGCAACTTATATTCATTAACATCCTTCCTGATGATAACTGGCCCAAGGCAGGGTGGTGCCAAAATCTGTGTGCAGCACCACAGCGAGGGGCTGGGGCTGTCGGCTGAGGTACTGCAGAACTCCTGGCAGCCAAAGCACATTTGAAGTAATTTTAGAAACTGCAAGTGTGTGAAATGAAATGCAAACAAAACATGGGAAAAAAGTGAGTCAGTGTCTCATGCAGTGGCCTAGATTGAGTGCATAAACTGTGAAAGTAGAAGTGGGTTGCAGTTAAACTTGGCTTGTGCTAATCCAGTTTTGAACGGTTTCCGCTCTTGGCATTCCCTATGCTGTTCTGTTCAAAGTGGAGATTTGCAAGCAGCTCTAGCAATTTCCTGTCCAGCTGCAGCTCAAGTGACTCCCTTGTTTGGTTTTTTTGGTGTGGTTTTTTTTTTTTTTTTAATATGGTCTGAGGATAATTTTAGCCAGTTTCCTCTTTGTGGATTATTAATCTGCTTTCCTTGTAGAACCTACATAGCTGCGTCCCTACTGTTCTGCTGAAGTTAACAGATGGCCTCCCCGCCACTTCCTCTCGTTTCGCTATGGGTTTGTTGTCAGGCCACTTCTGAAATTAATAGTGTTTTCTGGCCGGCTGCCACAGGCCATTACCACAAAGGGGAAGTAACACATCTGAATAGCAGGAAGCCAGGCAGGGTCACAGCGTGAACTGAACCTGTTGAGTGCAATCAGACCTCTCCCGTTAGGCAAGTGTAGGGCTCCTCTTCCCTCCCCGCTTTGAGCACGCCTTGCACAGGGAAAGGGCTGGCACCAAATGCCTCAGCTGTTTGCACCGGGCAAATGCTTCCGCTGAAGGAGCTGCCAGTGTTAGCTGTGGCTGCGTGGCCCTTGAGGTGAGGAGGTAAAGATCGGTATGTGGCTGTGCAGCACAGGGGAGGAGAGCTTTGGCTTTTTCTGCAAACTGCTTTGAAAAGTTAATGCTCACAAGGGCTTCCTGCTTCCTTCCTGCTGCACAGAATGACTAACACCAAATGGGTACTTCTGCAATTCATCATTTTTTGCGACAAGCAAGCACAGAGGAGCTTTGCTCACACACACACACACAGAGCAGTCAGGCTGAAAACTTGTTCCAGATTTTTCCTTGAGTGAGGCCCAAAGCAGGGCTGTTTCAGACCCTTGGCTGAACTTGAACCAGACTGTGTGACAGCAACTTTGGTCACAGGCAACCCCAAATTACAAGTGGAGCCAACCCAAAACCTGGTTCAATGACTGATTTTGCTGGGAGTGTTGGCAATCATAGGCTGGCTTGAATTACAAGGGGTTAGGAAGAAAAGTGATGAGAGCTCTAACCCACAATATTCACCCTTGCAACAGAGGTTCCCAAAAAACTCTGTCCGAGCATGGTGCAGGGAATGGCTCATCGTACATCAGCACTTGCAGCTTTTCTCAGCCTGGGTTCTGCTTCTGCAGTGCGTGTCCTGGTTACTCCATCTATCCCCTCCCCAGCACTTGTTTCAAAATAATTCACTTCCTCTGTCCCCTGTTTCGTTTCAGTCCTTGCTGGGATGGGGCAGAGGTCTCAGACTTCTGAGGGGTTTGGCAGCTATTACAGCTCCTCAGCTGGTAAAGTAATTTGTGACGGGAAGAATAAATCCTTTGTGCCTGTAGGGACAGGCCTGGTGTGTAGAGGAGGAAAGAGGAGAAATGTCTGCCCTTTGCAGCTAACAAAATCACAGCCTGCCTCTTCATATTATAACGTAGTAACGTGAGGTAAGAAAATGCTTCAAAACTGTGGAGATTCTAGGAAGGAAAACTGTTCTCTTAGGAATGATCAGAGCTTTCTCACATGACCCATCTACCTTTAATACGAAGGATGAAATTGTGTCCTGTGGCACCCTGTCCTATTTGCTCTGGTAAGGTCAAGGTTTCCATTTGTGTTTGTGTACACTTTGCTTTTCATTTTCTATGCAACAGCAACATGTAACATTGTGTTGGTTCCCCTTCGTGCATTTCCTCTTTCCCATTCACACCCTTTCACACTGCTTTATGCCTCCTTTGAAAAAGTCTTAACTCTCTCTGTGTTTTGCTGTAGTAGCCATAATTTTCCCCATATTCCTTCTTGTGTTTTTTTTTTTTTTTTAATGCTGCTCTTTCTCCTATGCCTTCTAATTTTCTACAGGTCTTTTTCTAAGCTTTGTAGTTCCAACTTTTCCTTTGTATTCTTACCCTCTCTTTCTCTGTTATTCTCTCACTGTTTTCCTCATATTTCCTGTATCAGCTCATCTTTCTGCCAGCTTTAAGCCAGCCTGCTCCTCTTTGTTTTCACAGTGAAAAACAAAATGAGTCTCATGGACTCAGTCAGTTATAGTGAGCTATAAGAAAGGTGTACTTTAGAGGAAAAAGTAAGAAAACACTACTTCTGTCCTCTTGCCACTTCCTAGCAGATGACATTATTTCTCATCTCTGTGCCCTGTCTCTGTGTAGATTTGGCCCCACGTGGCTTCCCTGGGTTCTCTCTGTAGCTGCTGTTAACAGAGAAGGCAGGCATGAGGAAGCAGCATTTCCTTTGGGCCTATCCAATGTCAGAGGGCACCGACTTGCCATTTGAAGAGAGGGGAGTGGTGAGGAAAGTGGGGAAGACAGAAAATGTGTCCAACAAAGGCAGCTCTGCCATCAAAACTGAAGCCAGGTTTAATAATTGTGTCTGGATAACATTTCTTCAGCTTCTCTGAAAAGCTTATCCAAAAATTTTTCCCTGTTGAGAAGCATGATGACACTTTATTCAGAGCTCCAGGAAAAACAATTGTATATGAACGTTTAAACAAAGCTACAGCTTAAGCCCTCTCTCCATGCTGCTATAAATCACTGAAAGCTTTGCCTGAGTGAAGACGGTGGAACAAATTGCTGAGCTCAATTCTGTGCCCCCCTAGACCCTGGGTGTGCGTGCTCAGCATTGCTCAGTTACCCCAGGAGCACAAGCATGGGGCCAGCCCCCTCCAGTGTGCAGCAGCACGTATGGGACACTCTGGGACTTCGGTGAGATGCTGCATCCAGGAAAGGTCTCTGAGTTTGCTCCAAACACCTCATAGCCAAAAGGAAATAAGGGCTACCCATCAGTGGTTTTTCATGGTGTGTGATGACTTGGGTTATACAAACTCTGCCCTTTCCTGCCCCTGCAACAGCCAGAAATGGAGTGTAACATCATACATCTCCTTTTTTCATTGCCAAATTTGAGAGAGAAGCATGTGCTGGAACTTAGCAGATATTACAGACAGAAGGCTGGTATGGGAGCTGCCTTCTTTTGAGCGAAGTGCTTGTCTCTGTAAGGAAAGGAAAAAACCCTGTTAGATGCTTTCTGTTGTTTGTTATCGTAGGGATCTGCAAGTGCTGAGGGAATTTTGCAGTGCTCGCAGCCATAGCTTTTCCTCATAAGGCAACGATGAAGGATGTTGACTTACCACAAACACAAGGAGATGATTATCAGATGGAAAAGGGGGGTATGGTATCTGCCTAAGAAATACTTCTTAATGACAGATGTTGCATTCAGGACTATATTTGAGAGATGCAACAGAAATTGCTCCCTGCTCTCCTTCACAGCTGCGATCCCCAGGACACAGGATGTGCAGGAAAATGCTGGCACTCTCCAGTCCCTACACTGTTCTAGCACTGTAGATACCAGCACACAAAATGATGCTACATGGGAGGTCTGTTTACCATAATGTGGAAACCATTGTGAAGCACTTTGCTCATTTTGCCAGGGACACAAGTGTCTTGCAGAGTTGTCCCAAGGTCTTCCATCTTCCCAAAAGTCCTTGCTTAACTTCCAGACTTTTATTTTAATGAATTTTCTGTTTAATTTTCTGTTTTTTCTGTTAAAATCATGCTTTGGGGCATTACAGAAAGCTGTTTTTTCATCTTTTTTTTCTTGCTGACCTCAACTCTGAAGGAAATGAATTCCCATCTGCAAATGAAGCCATCTGAAAAACGTTGCTGGCTGACAGTTCAAATAAGGTGAAAGTTCTTTATGGTTTGAAGGTGGCAGTGTTTGGGAAATGACATCCAACTAAAGTCAGACTGGAAGCACTAGTATTCAGTATTTGTGAAATCATGTTGGTTGTTTAGTAGGTACATTGGACAACCAAATGATATGAGTCAGTGTAACAGTGGAGACTACGGTTCCACAGACGGGTGTTCACAACACTTTTGAACCCCTTGAAGACATTATCTCTCTCTGTTTGGTGACCATTAAGGTTGTAAGTGGGATTCTAAGTTCCATTTTTCCCTGCATACAGTAATGTTATAGATATAGAGGTAGAAAGTCAAGATATCTCAATGTGGTGAGAGAGAACTTTTTTCCTTATTTATAAAAAAAGAGAATTTTAGTGTCTGAGGGACCTACTCGCATTAAAAAAATAAAATCATGACCACTGAGATTTCAACTATTGCTTGATTGATTAGGATTTCCTGTGTTATCAGTGGTCTGAATTGCATTTTCTGTGTCAGTATTTTGACCAAATGAATTTATTTGAGAGGTTTCTAGGCTAGCCTGGCTCTTTGTGAAGAAACATGGCACGGCACCTCTCATCTAGTCTGAAATTCAGCCCAGCACTGAGCTGATATTCTATTTAAGCATTAGGAACTGAGTACACTTGGGTTCTGCACAGGATGTTTTTGTTATAAATAAAGATTAAACGTGTCTGATTTCTTAAATACAAATCAGGTACAACAAATTAGGCTTTAACACACCTTTACAGTCCTTCACTTAAGTCTTTTGATTCAGTGAAATTTTGCAGGCTTCTGTATGTGAAGAAAATATCTTTTATATTTGCAAATTGCTCTCAGAGCAGAGAGTAGAAAATGCCTATTATTCATGTGCACCAATTCTTCTTGAAAGAAACTTCTCAGAGGTTTACAGCTTTGCTAGACCTTGTTTGGACTTGAATATAAATGCCTCAGGCTAGTCTAAAAAGATGAAAAGAAATTAATATCCCTCTGAATATGTCATCCTAAAAGACTTGGCCCTTCTTTTCTGAAGAAAATCCCTTGTTTTTTGTCTATGTAACAAAATCTGTTACTGTTTCCTTGAACATCCTCAGCTTTCTGTGCCTGAAGGAAGGAACTCTAAATCTGTCAGGGTGTGTTTTGAGATGTGCCTGGTGCTGCTCCCTTGAATAGCTCCTCTTGCCCAAGATTTGAGCTGTTGGAAGACAGTGGATTGAACATGCCAAGAAACTGAATCTTCATGAGCAACTTTCTTTATAAGTCCGCAGTGATAAAGTTTAGCTGAGCCTGCCCTTGGTGCTGGGTTGCCAGGCCTGCCAAGCAGGACAGCATAGCACACTCTGAGGAGGGATGGGATTTGTGTCTGTGAGGTGCAGGATTGTGCAGTAAGTCTGCCCCAAAATTGGTAGGTTTGATTTGAGATATGTACTGTACTTGTGTACCAATCACATCTGCCTCCAGCATTCCTGCACTGTGCAGTATAAATACTCCTTACATCCCTGTTTTCCCTGAACAAAATATTAATGGGGCCAGTCAACTAAGAACAATTCTGGTGTTAGGCAGAGAAGAAAACACATATCAACTGACAGAAAGCAGAGCACCTTGGTGATGTTGCTGGAAAGGCAAGAGATGAGAAAATGTAGTTGTTTCTGGGGCTCATTGTCAGTTAAATTTTGTATGTGTTGAAGTGTCTCAAGTGGCAGCTAGGTCTATACATTCTTCTGTAAAATTCAAATTGCTTGACACTACAACCTTAATAATATTCTTTTTATGGTGTTTTTGTTTTATGCCAGCAATAATATTTCAACTTCTCTGTTGAGATGTAAATGAATGGCATTCCTATGGCTTTACATAACAGTAGCAGAGATCACACTCAAGAGGTGTTTGTTATTACAGTATTAAGGTTTTAAAATACTCTGCCAATTATGGTGAAATAAAATTAACAGGTTTCCTTTTTTGTTTCCTTTTTTTTTTTTTTGTAGGTATGTGTGTTTCAAAGTGTATGTAATCTTCATTTGGCAGGGATTTAATCAATCTGCTATCTTATAAAGTGCCTTGGCTAATATAAACTGGTTATAGCTATGGGATATTATTGTGATGTTAATAATAAACATAATAGTTATCTGAGGTCAAAAGAAAATTTCCTTTTCCCCTCAGTCCTGCACAGCCAGGTGCAGTGTGCAAGTTGACTTATACAAAGGGCATGTTGCTATATTCCATAATTACTGGTCTACATCCTTGGACGGCTGGGTCTTACAGCAGACTTGAGTGAGCTAATCCTGGTTAACAAAGTTACTCAAGTGTTTAACCATTGGCAAAATCAAATGCTGGGGCATGTGAAAACACACTGCACACCATTGGCTGCATAATAATTGATAATATCCACTAATGATTGAAGAAGCTGGGGATTCTTGGGCAGGTGAATTTCTCACATTATTAGAGATTTCTGAATTAACTGAAGAGGTAAATGCTCTTTTGCTCTGGCTCATTATAAGGCAAGAAGCAGCAGGTTTTTTGGGAGGTGCAGAGCCCTCACAATCTTGTGAGTTGGTTCCACAGAGGAGAATCGAACAGGGAACTGGGGCAATGGAATCCTGTATCATGAGCCACTTAAAAGACCATTCTACACTTTTGCTTTTGAGAGCGTCACAGACAGGACTCATGGTTCATGAGTTGCTGCACTATAAATGGAGTTCCTGAAATAAAGCTGAAGTAATGCAGCAATGAATCAGGCGCAGGAGCTGTGCATGTGAGTGCCATTACTTTAG